GGTAGAAAAAACACATATTTTACAAAATGTTGTTTTTATTTTTTATTTATTCCTCTATTTTGCACTGCTGGGATATCTTGGTTTATTCCTGGTAGTTTTGGAGACTTGCTATAATATGTACATTGAATATTACATTATATCGCTAGGATCATATAGGTTTTATGATCTAACTGACATATTGCACTAGGCATTTATTCATAGTGAACAGTCAGGCCAGTCTGCATTTTAGGCTTGTTTGGGGCATTAATGTCGGTAACATTCTTTATGGTTACATTGTACTAAATACGGCATTTATTCATTTGGTGTATTTGTGTGATTTCGATTTTTATGGTTATTTTTATCTTTATTCAACATTCTTTTTTCTTATTTTACTTTAGAGATATTGCTCATATTTTGCTGTTTATTTAATATTATGTAGTTTATGTATTATATATTCTGTAATGAATCATATACTATGTTATTTATCTATACTAACACACACATTTTTTGTATTTTTTATGTAAAATAATGTTTAGCTTTAATTCTTGCTATGGTAAGGGTTAATCCCTTTAAGTTATTAGGCTGTTAATCTATTTAGTCCATTCCAGGTATTTTAGGTTGTCTGATTCTGAGGGTTTATAAGGCAATTATTACCATCTGCACATCGTCTTGATAAAGTCTTGTGAACAGGACAAAACGCGCGTAGACGCAGTGCCTTTCTCTTCTCTGTTATCTGTTTATATTGATTGGCGTGCTGATATCCATCAAGTATATCTATGGTTTACTGCCTGTGTGACTACCTTCATTGAGATCCCATGTGTTCTATCATTCATCAACAAGTCAAGTATTGCATCACAGAGCTCCACAGCACTAAAACTCACAGTAATAAGCAGTACACGACAGAGCTCCACAGCACTAAAACTCACACTGATATGCAGTGTGTATCACAGAGCTCCACAGTAATAAAACTCACACTGATGTGCAGTGCATCACAGAGCTCCACAGTAATAAAACTCACACTGATGTGCAGTGCATCTCAGAGCTCCACAGTAATAAAACTCACAGTGATGTGCAGTGCATCACAGAGCTCCACAGCAATAAAGCTCACAGCAATATGCAGTGTGTATGAGGATATCACAGAGCTCGACAGCAATCTATCGGTTTATTGAAATCATCCCATTTTGGAGTAACATGCGTTCTGCCCCTAAAGAGTTAAGTGTCCTTGTATGTTGGTGTTTAATAGTCTTTGTCTAGAGATGGTTTCCTGTTATTGTGCGAAGACAGTAATGAAACCCAAGTAACATCCTGCCATGCTGAGCTGGCCCGGGACAGCTGCACTCTCTTACAATCACTATCAAACTGGATTTTACTATATTAATTCCAGAGTTCAGGATACGTCATTCCCGTTACCCTCTCCTAATCTGGAACAAACTCCTTAATATCTGTTTTATACTTGGTACATTGGGAGTTGGTCAATTGGAAGCTCGATCTTGGCCATTCGAACCTTTAAATACTCTGCACAATGATGCAGTTTGTGTCAGTCCCTATAGATGGCGCTAACAGCAAATAGGTATGTACAGGAGAAAAGTTTCAGAACCCCCAGTGTTAGTGATTGCACCAAAATTTATACATGATATCCCAATATTAGTGATTGCACCATTATTTATACAAAAACCCTCAATAATAGTGATTGATTGCACCATTATTTATACAAACACCCCAATAAGAGTGATTGATTGCACCATTATTTATACAAACACCCCAATAATAGTTGTAACGGACTGTTTCAGCGCACAAGGAGTTAAAATCAGTTTAGGCGATATTCCCCTTTCAGATATAAAGGCAGCTTCAGTAAAACACCAAACCCCCGAACCGCATATAAGGGAAGGCTCTAAACTCCCGAACTGGATACAAAATAGCACTCCAAACTCCCGAACTGGAACCTCACGAATAGCAGACGAATAGGTTCCCACAGTTCCCAGCACAGCACCACGAGGGAGCATGGTAGAGAGACATGCTCCACCCTCCTCCTTCACTCCTCAGCATTAGTGACAGTGACAGGAGTGCCACCGGACCGGCGAGGCTGCCACCTGACCCGGCAGCTCCAGCGTGGAATGCGGCCGGCCCCCTGACTTCTCTCAGGTAAATGGGAGGGGGAAGACGGGGAATAAAGAGACACAAGGGGAGGGGGAAAATAAAACAGAGGGGGAATAGACACAGGGAAAAGAGGGAGAAAGAGACAGAGGGGGAAGAGTGAGACACAGGGGGAGAAAGAGTGGGAATAGAGAGATGGTGGAGGGAGGAAAAATAGACAGAGGGGAAGAGAGATGTGGGAGAGAGAGAGAGAGACAGGGAAAGGGGGGTGAAAGAGACAGAGGGGAAGAGAGAGACACACAAGGGGTGGGGGAGAAAGAGGCAGAGGGGGAAAGGAGAGAGACACACAAGGGGAGGGGGAGAAAGAGGCAGAGGGGGAAGAGAGAGACTGGGAAGGAGAGGGGAGACATGGACACAGTGGAGCAGTGAGGGGGAGAAAGAAACATACAGAGTGACTGGGAGGAGACAAAAAGAGACACAGAGGAGCTGGAGATAAAGAGACACACATAGGGGCTGTATATATCACTGGTGGATCGGGGGGGGGAGGCAACAGGGCAATTCCCCCGAGCTCTCCCCTGCCAGCCGATCTCCCTCCCTGTTCCACACATACATACACACATTGCCCCACACACACTACACATTCACACACTACACCCCCCACAAACACATACACAACCTTTCACACACACTGCACCCCTCACACATTGCACCACTGCTCCTATACCCTACTACAGCCCCATATCCCTGCAGACCCCAGGTAAGTTGTCAAACTGTTCTTAAACGGTTTGACTACTTACTCTGGCAGGGGGTCCCGGCACTCCTTGCACCATAACCACTACACAGAGTAGTAGTGGTTATTGTGCATGCAATATTTCTTTAAATAATCTACAAGTGCCCCTCCCGGGATCAGGCTCTGGATCCGCCACTGGTATATGACATGTACATGCACAATAACATATTTAAAGTGAATAGAGCACCCACAGGACTTCAAAATAAACAAGATAAAGTCAATTTTTTACAGTTGTGCCCTACACGGGGAGGCATTTGCCTTGGGCAGCATTTTCCATGGGGCGGCAAAAAAAGCCTCCCCCAAATGCCCAGGGCAAATGTCTTGTTAGCCTCGTAGCTAACTGACATGCCAGACGGGCTGCTGGGCAGTCGGGGGGTGCTGGCGGGTGGCTGGCGAGGGAGCACTTTCTCTGAACTCTCTGCTCAGCTCCCTCGCGCGCCGCCCGCAGAGTGAGGCTGGGAGCCGGAATCTGCACTTTTGTTTATTTTGAAGCCTATGAATACTTTTTTTTACGTTGGAGTAATAATTTTTCATTTTAAGTTATCTGTTCTAACTCTGTATCTGCACACTATGCTGGCGCGACGCATTATGGGGCTGGTAAATAATTTTTTTCCAGGGCTGCTTTTAATTCCCAGTCCGGCCCGGACTACATAACCACAGTGCAGACAAAACGTGCTGTGCTGATGAAAAGAAAAATAAAAGTAAACCGACACGCGTTTTGAAGGCTACTAAAGCGCCTTCAACCAGGGCATTCAATGGAGCCGCTCACCAGGTCACTACGTCATATTCATGTCCTGGATGCGGCCCTTAATGTACCGACCCTTTGTCAATCATGACACACATCTCCGTGCTATATCAATACACGGAGGAGGGAGGGGCGAGATCTATTCGGTGGTTTTGTACACACATGGGGAGGAGAGGCAAATAAGTGTATTAACCCCTTATAGAGTTTGTATAGAGAAGCCTATATTCCTAATCACTGAGCAGGTTAAAGGACAAACAGATCCCTATATAGTTATAACCAGAAAGTTATAGAGGTGATCACCAGCGAAATGTTGCACAATGTAGTTAATCTTAGTTCAGATATATTACTGTACAGGTGTATATATCTCAGAGACCATATTATAGTGCCTAACTTGAGCAATGCTCTGTCCCAAGTTACATCAGATATAGTAAAGGTCCATATATCGAGATTATATATGTTACATAGATGTATTTATACGTAAACTGTACTGTACATTGATATTATATCTCAGATTATAAATTCAAACGCCCAAGTTCAAAGTTCTCCCTACTGTGTCTAGAAAACAGGGGAATATATTCTAGGATCAAAAAATGAATCCCCTGGTGAAGTAATGGGGGTCTCAAATTGTTAAAATTAAACATTATTTACAAATACAAAAATAATAAATAAATAATAATATATATAATCATAATTATATAACATATTCAGCTGCCAAAATAGGGGGAAAACGTGAAGCCCTCATTGACGCCTTTGGGTGCCAGAGTGTTCAACTTCAAAAACACTCTTTGTTAGAGGGCTATATATTGGTTACATTTAAGTTCAATGCAGTTTCCCCATAATAGTGGTGTTGAATCACAGGGCTTTATATTGCCTTGTATTATAGCCACAAGTGGTTAAAAGGATATTTATACCTTTTTAGGTTTCTCAACTCCCACCCCTATCATCCTCAGCCAGCATCCCACCCAGTCCCTCATTGAGTCTCCCCCTTTAGATTTGAATGTAGAGCCTTTATTCAATTGTGGCTCTTCTCAATGGGTTTATGTTGTATGTCTTTTCTCCTTTCAATTAAATAAAGATTATCATTATTTAACATTATATTAGCTTTATATTTCAAGGAACCTTTTGTTCCCATTGAGTGCTGAGTACATTCTATTTCAGTGCTGAGTATGTCCCTGTATCAGTGCTGAGTATGTCCCTGTATCAGTGCTGAGTATGTTCCTGTATCAGTGCTGAGTACATTCTATATCAATGCAGAGTATGTTCCTGTATCAGTGCTGAGTACATTCTATATCAGTGCTGAGTATGTTCCTGTATCAGTGCTGAGTACATTCTATATCAATGCAGAGTATGTTCCTGTATCAGTGCTGAGTACATTCTATATCAGTGCTGAGTATGTCCCTGTATCAGTGCAGAGTATGTCCCTGTATCAGTGCTGAGTATGTTCCTGTATCAGTGCTGAGTACATTCTATATCAGTGCAGAGTATGTTCCTGTATCAGTGCAGAGTATGTCCCTGTATCAGTGCTGAGTATGTCCCTGTATCAGTGCTGAGTATATCCCTGTATCAGTGCTGAGTACATTCTATATCAGTGCAGAGTATGTTCCTGTATCAGTGCTGAGTATGTCCCTGTATCAGTGCTGAGTACATTCTATTTCAGTGCTGAGTATGTTCCTGTATCAGTGCTGAGTACATTCTATATCAGTGCTGAGTATGTTCCTGTATCAGTGCTGAGTATGTTCCTGTATCAGTGCTGAGTATGTTCCTGTATCAATGCTGAGTATGTTCCTGTATCAGTGCTGAGTATGTCCCTGTATCAGTGCTGAGTATATCCCTGTATCAGTGCTGAGTACATTCTATTTCAGTGCTGAGTATGTTCCTGTATCAGTGCTGAGTACATTCTATATCAGTGCTGAGTATGTTCCTGTATCAGTGCTGAGTATGTTCCTGTATCAGTGCTGAGTATATCCCTGTATCAGTGCTGAGTATGTTCCTGTATCAGTGCTGAGTATGTTCCTGTATCAATGCTGAGTATGTTCCTGTATCAGTGCTGAGTATGTTCCTGTATCAGTGCTGAGTATGTCCCTGTATCAATGCTGAGTATGTTCCTGTATCAGTGCTGAGTATATCCCTGTATCAGTGCTGAGTATATCCCTGTATCAGTGCTGAGTACATTCTATATCAGTGCAGAGTATGTTCCTGTATCAGTGCTGAGTATGTTCCTGTATCAGTGCTGAGTATATCCCTGTATCATTGCTGAGTATGTTCCTGTATCAGTGCTGAGTATGTCCCTGTATCAGTGCTGAGTATGTCCCTGTATCAGTGCTGAGTATGTTCCTGTATCAGTGCTGAGTATATCCCTGTATCAGTGCTGAGTATGTTCCTGTATCAGTGCTGAGTATATCCCTGTATCAGTGCTGAGTATGTTCCTGTATCAGTGCTGAGTATGTTCCTGTATCAGTGCTGAGTATATCCCTGTATCAGTGCTGAGTATGTTCCTGTATCAGTGCTGAGTATGTTCCTGTATCAGTGCTGAGTATATCCCTGTATCAGTGCTGAGTATGTCCCTGTATCAGTGCTGAGTATGTCCCTGTATCAGTGCTGAGTATATCCCTGTATCAGTGCTGAGTATGTCCCTGTATCAGTGCTTAATGCATGTTGTATGTAAACTATCACTATGCTCAGTTACAGTGTATCTGCCTGGTGCTCTCAGCGCCCTCTAGCGGTGATTTGAAGCTGTTACAGTGACACAGTGTCCGACAGGTTTGTTGGGATCAGATTATAAAGTTACCTGTTCAGGTTTTGTAGGAATATTATTTTAATATGAAGATATCATTTTGATGTTTTTTCATCCACCTTGTGTTAGTATTATCCTGATCCTGTCCTGGCACCATGCTCTCACTGCCAGGTTACTGATTAACCTGCTGTCTGCCCTTTGTACCCCTGCCAGGCTCCTCCCTATACCTGGAGGGGCAGAGGGAGGGGAGGAGACACAGACAGGGAGAGAGCTGTCTGTATGGGAGGACACTGAGAGCTGAACCTACCTGGCATGTGACCCCACCTGGCACACAGCAAGGGTGCAGGGGAAGGTGAGTGTGCCCTGAGCTAGGAAGGGGGGCATGGCATGGGGGGCATTGTATGAGCTGGCATGGGGGGCATGGCATGTGCTGGCATGGGGGCATTGTAAGAGCTGTCAGAGGGGGCATGGCGTGTGCTGGCATGGGGACAGGGTATAAGCTGGCATGGGGACATGGTATGAGCTGGCACAGGGGGCATGGGATAAGCTGGCATGGGGGACCTGTTATAAGCTGGCATGGGGGCATGGCATGGGCTGGCACTGTGCCCCTTGTGCCCTGTTCCTATCTGTATGGATGTGCTGTACCCAGTGACTGCCATTGGCACTGTGCCCCCTGTGCCTTGCTCCTATCTGTATGGATGTGCAGTACCCAGTGACTGCCATTGGCACCATGCCCCCTGAGCTCTGCTCCTAGCTGTATGGATGTGCTGTACCCAGTGACTGATATTGGCACCTTGCCATCTGTGCCCTACCCCTATCTGTAGGGATGTGCTGTACCCAGTGACTGCCATTGGCACCATGCCCCCTGAGCACTGCTCCTAGCTGTATGGATGTGCTGTACCCAGTGACTGCCATTGGCACCATGCCCCCTGTGCCCTGCTCCTATCTGTATGGATGTGCTGTATCCAGTGACTGCCATTGGCACCATGCCCCCTGAGCCCTGCTCCTAGTTGTATGGATGTGCTGTATCCAGTGACTGCCATTGGCACCATGCCCCCTGTGCCTTGCTCCTATCTGTATGGATGTGCTGTACCCAGTGACTGCCATTGACACCATGCCCCCTAAGCTCTGCTTCTAGCTGTATGGATGTGCTGTACCCAGTGACTGCCATTGGCACCATTCCCCCTAAGCTCTGCTTCTAGCTGTATGGATGTGCTGTACCCAGTGACTGCCATTGGCACCATGCCCCCTGAGCTCTGATCCTAGCTGTATGGATGTGCTGTACCCAGTGACTGCCATTGTCACTGTGCCCCCTGTGCCTTGCTCCTAGCTGGATGGATGTGCTGTACCCAGTGACTGCCATTGGCACCATGCCCCCTAAGCTCTGCTCCTAGCTGTATGGATGTGCTGTACCCAGTGACTGCCATTGGCACCATGCCCCCTGAGCTCTGCTCCTAACTGTATGGATGTGCTGTACCCAGCAACCCCCATTGGCACTGTGCCCCCTGTGCCTTGCTCCTAGCTGTATGGATGTGCTGTACCCAGTGACTGCCATTGGCACCATGCCCCCTGAGCCCTGCTCCTAGCTGTACGGATGTGCTGCACCCAGTGACTGCCATTGGCACTGTGCCCCCTGAGCCCTGCTCCTAGCTGTATGGATGTGCTGTACCCAGTGAATGCTGTCTGTATAATGCCCTCTGAGTACGTATAGTTAAGCATGTAATATGGTCATTACAACCACAATTAGCTGGCGAGACATTACATTAAACCTGTTCCTGTTAGTTCCTAATTTTTGAGTACTTGGTTCATAAATACCATTTAGTACATAGCTCCCTGTGTGAGTCAAGGAGACAGGTGTCGTGTTCGTATTTGATGTGATAACAGCAACACGAGAAAAGCTCCTCCCAGGAAAAAGTACCTGGCAGTTCCTCTCATTACAGCATGAAATACTCATCGTATATTTAATGTGCGCAAATTGAATATGTGGCAAAATTGGCACTTTTTAGAAAACCAGATGTCCCGCTTTCACAAATATTCGGTGGTCATTTTGGCAGAAAAAGTGAATATTGCGCAAAAAAAATGACTATTTCCACAATCTCAATTTGTGTTAAAATTGCGGTTATTTTTATTTGTATATATTTTTTTATGATTTTGCGTGTTTCATTGGTGCATTTTCAAGGCTGCAGTATGAAATTGGGATTTGTTTGAATTTATCTGTAAAAAATAATTCAGCTCATGAAGCCACGATTTTTGTTATTTGTGTTTTAGATAAATAGATGTGAATGTTCTGCTTGTTAGAAAGGCACACACAGACATTTTATTCTAATGAGCTCCGTTTTCCCACGATCCTCTGGTTCAGTGACTCACTCTTTTATGATATTTGACGTGGTTATTATTTACCCCATTTCCTCATACTGCCGCTCAAAACATCCGAGGACAATAACCGCCTTTTAAAAAGTGTCTCGTGGGACCTTAGAGGATCATGGGAAATAGTGCATTAGTTTATATGGTATCGTCAACTATGATAATGCTTGATGGGACGTATCCACTAAACAAGGAGGATGAACAAAGAAATTTAGACTTTTAGGCCAAAGTTCTAGCTGAATGGAAAAATGCTCCGGCTGACCTTAGATTTGAAATAATGATACGTAGAGGACGCGGCTTAAAAGTGTTGAGTTCTAAAAATGTGTTTCTCCCATTCCTAAATGACCTCTTGCTTTGCAGAAAATGACACCGTGCCTTTAAGGAATGTTTGAGAATAAGATTTTTGCAGATATTAATACATTTAACTTTTTCTGAATTTTACCTTATAGTGACCTTGCCATGAGGCTCATCGTGTGTCTCACACTTTTCATCTCCCCTCTCGTGGCTAACCCCTGCACGGTGTACCCTCAGGTAGGAACAATTGGTGTTAAAGAATAAGAGAATGGCCCTGCGGTGCTGGGAGCTGCAGTAAACGTTTACCATAACTAAACAAACAGAGTGACTTTTACAGAAATATGCTAGCTACAGGGCCTCCACACCTCGCTTTCCAGTCCGCCTAACAAGTTTTCTCACAAGTCGTTCAACCTGTTTTGCATTACTATTGTACTGCGCTGCAGAATATGTTGCTGCTGACCAATAATAATAGTACTCCAGCAGGAAGTAAAGAGAAGTACGGAACGTGAAATAGGAAGTAAAGGGAAGTACAGAACATACCGCAGGAAGTATAGGGAATTACAGAACATGCAGTAGAAAGTAATGGGAAGTATGGAACGTGCAGTGGGAAGTAAAGGGAAGTACAGAACGTGTAGTGGGAAGTAAAGGGAAGTACAGAACATACAGCAGGAAGTAAAGGGAAGTACAAAACTTGCAGAAGAAAGTAAAGGGAAGTACAGAACATACAGCAGGAAGTAAAGGGAAGTACAGAACATACAGCAGGAAGTAAATGGAAGTACAGAACGTGTAGCAGGAAGTAAAGGGAAGTATAGAATGTGCAGTCGGAAGTAATGGGAAGTACATAACGTGTAGCAGGAAGTAGAGGGAAGTATGGAACATGCAGCAGGAGGTAAAAGGAAGTACAGAACGCACAGCAGGAAGTAAAGGAAAGTATAGAATGTGTAGCCGGAAGTAAAGGGAAGTACAGAACGTGCAGCAGGAAGTAAAGGGAAGTATAGAACGTGTAGCAGGAAGTAAAGGGAAGTATGGAACATGCAGCAGAAAGTAAAGGGAACCACGGGAAATACAGAAACAATCTTCCGCTAGAATCCATTTCTCCACTTCCAATTCTTCCGCATTTCCATCTTGGCTTTTTTCTTTCGATTTTTGTAACCTGGTGTTTGATAAACCGTAATTTAATGTTTAGAGAATAAACCTCAATAATGTTTCAATCTCAATAGATTTAATCGAATTGATGTTTAATGTAATTATAATAAACATTTATGTACATTTAAACATTGAAGTGGTTATAGTGTCTGTAGTCCCCTGGCGCTGTCCCACCATTCAGTGTTAAACCATTCCATCTCATTGAAGTGGTTATAGTGTCTGTAGTCCCCTGGCGCTGTCCCTCCATTCAGTGTTAAACCATTCCATCTCATTGAAGTGGTTATAGTGCCTGGAGTCCCTTGGCACTGTCCCTCCATTTAATGTTAAACCATTCCATCTCATTGAAGTGATTATAGTGCCTTGAGTCCCCTGGCACTGTCCCACCATTCAGTGTTAAACCATTCCATCTCATTGAAGTGATTATAGTGCCTGGAGTCCCCTGGCACTGTCCCTCCATTCAGTATTAAACCATTCCATCTCATTGAAGTGGTTATAGTGCCTGGAGTCCCCTGACGCTGTCCCTCCATTCAGTGTTAAACCATTCCATCTCATTGAAGTGGTTATAGTGTCTGTAGTCCCCTGGCACCGTCCCTCCATTCAGTGTTAAACCATTCCATCTCATTGAAGTGGTTATAGTGTCTGGAGTCCCCTGGCACTGTCCCTCCATTCAGTGTTAAACCATTCCATCTCATTGAAGTGGTTATAGTGCCTGGAGTCCCCTGGCGCTGTCCCTCCATTCAGTGTTAAACCATTCCATCTCATTGAAGTGGTTATAGTGCCTGGAGTCCCCTGGCGCTGTCCCTCCATTCAGTGTTAAACCATTCCATCTCATTGAAGTGGTTATAGTGCCTGGAGTCCCCTGGCCCTGTCCCTCCATTCAGTATTAAACCATTCCATCTCATTTAAGTAGTTAAGGTGCCTGAAGTCCCCTGGCGCTGTCCCTCCATTCAATGTTAAACCATTTCATCTCATTGAAGTGGTTAAAGTACCTGGAGTCCCCTGGCACTGTCCCTCCATTCAGTGTTAAACCATTCAATCTCATTGAAGTGGTTAAAGTGTCTGAAGTCACTTGGCTGAGTCCTATCAGTGCTGAGTACATTCTATATCAGTGCTGAGTATGTCCCTGTATCAGTGCTGAGTATGTTCCTGTATCAGTGCTGAGCACATTCTATATCAGTGCTGAGTATGTCCCTGTATCAGTGCTGAGTACATTCTATATCAGTGCTGAGTATGTCCCTGTATCAGTGCTGAGTACATTCTATATCAGTGCTGAGTATGTCCCTGTATCAGTGCTGAGCACATTCTATATCAGTGCTGAGTATGTCCCTGTATCAGTGCTGAGCACATTCTATATCAGTGCTGAGCACATTCTATATCAGTGCTGAGTATGTCCCTGTATCAGTGCTGAGCACATTCTATATCAGTGCTGAGTATGTCCCTGTATCAGTGCTGAGTATGTTCCTGTATCAGTGCTGAGTATGTCCCTGTATCTGTGCTGAGTATGTTCCTGTATCAGTGCTGAGTACATTATATATCAGTGGTGAGTATGTTCCTGTATCAGTGGTGAGTATGTTCCTGTATCAGTGCTGAGTATGTCCCTGTATCAGTGCTGAGTATGTCCCTGTATCAGTGCTGAGTATGTTCCTGTATCAGTGCTGAGTACAACATCGTCATCTTCCGGCTCCGGTATCAGTGCGGTGCGCGAGGGAGCTGAAGAGGAAGCAAAACTTGCAGAAGAAAGTAAAGGGAAGTACAGAACATACAGCAGGAAGTAAAGGGAAGTACAGAACAGCAGGAAGTAAAGGGAAGTACAGAACGTGTAGCAGGAAGTAGAGGGAAGTATGGAACATGCAGCAGGAGGTAAAAGGAAGTACAGAACGCACAGCAGGAAGTAAAGGGAAGTATAGAATGTGTAGCCGCCTGCCTGACCGGCCACCCGCCTGCCGGGTATCAGCAGGGCCAGCCTCGGGGGGCCCTGGGGTGGTCAGCTCCTGGGCCCCCAGGGGAAGAGGCCACCCCTGCGACCCTGGTATGTACGCCACTGCCCTGACTCTTACAGTGGATGACCCAATGTGCCATGATCTACCTGAATAATAGCCCTCTATTCTACTCTACTTTATTTTACTGCATTTTACTTTACTTTATCTGAATAATAGCCCTAGCTAAGATACTTGCTGTATAAAAAGGTCTGTACACTTGCCTGCTTATCATATAATTGCACTAATTACACACCCAGCTACAGACCCCAAGCAACTTATTAGCTGGTTAGGATGATGTACTATTCAGCATGCTATTAACCTAAGTCAGACATATTAATTAACTTCTTGTAATCATAACCCATGCTAATGTAACTCGTATTTACTAACATTCTGATCTAAGCAACATTACTTTAACATTTCAAAACGTGCCGATAATCTCAATGCTCCAACAGTTATGCCTGAAAATTATGGGACACCACGAGCTTGTATGTTCTTTACTCAAAGCACGATAAAAATAAAGAATTAAAAATAAATAAATAAATTATGTCAAAATACATGAATCTGGGAAATAAATCTCTTGCAGATCTTTTTGAGCTTGGATAATTGGAGTTAAATTTCCAGGTCAGTGGTCTGGTAAACCCTGGATACCCTTCAGTGAGCTGGTTAAATATCACATAGGGTTGGATTACTGGGTAACTAGCTGATTTGTTTGGTGTGTTTTTTTCAGGGTAGAGCAGACTGCCGTCATCGAGGTCTCCAGGACATCCCGAGTTCCCTCCCTCAAAATACACAGCACCTGGACCTGTCTAATAATTTCATACACTTCACCAAGCCACTGGAGGAAAACTTTCCAGAACTCCGTCTACTCAACCTCTCTCATAACCCGCTGAAAAGTCTTCCAAATAATTCCTTTCAGAACCTGCCCAAACTCCAAACGCTGGACCTCAGTGACTGCGGTATCTCCACCCTGCACCTCAACATACTGAGCGGCCTGGACAGCCTCGAAACATTGATCTTAAGTCACAACAATCTGAGTCGGATCTCGTTGGGAAACCTCAAATCCTTGCGGTCTCTTGACATAAGGAAAACCTCACTGATATTTCATCCATCACATCCAAAGATATGGGACCTCGAACAGCTCTCAGTAAATAATGGTCTCTGTGAGTGCCCTTCAGAAGAACCTAAACGAGAAGGTAAGAGTGAGATTAAAAGATGTCTTGAGGAGAGAATGTGAATACTGTTAGAGAAATGGTGAGAGCAAAACTGGTTCTTATTCTGTAAAGTCTAAATGCAACATATCAGAGATTAGTTTGAGACAACCCGGGGGCATTTATAGGCAAACTTCCCGCAATCAATCTCAACAATAATCAGTCTCTGAATTTACAGAGACAACATCTAAATGGACATGAATTTACACCGGATTTATCCTGTCTGCATGAATGTGAATGCTGCGAATTGAATGCCATAATTTGGTTCCAAATTTGCACAGTCAGCTCCAGATTTGATCAGAGAGATTGTATGGTTAATGAGAGACTGACAGCTCCTTGTTCCTATTGCAGTATTTACTGGTTAAATAATGCAGTGAAGGTAGGTTAAAAACGTACCTCTATTGCACTTCCTCTTGGCAGCATGCCAACATTTTGTTCGGCTGTGTTGTACGCGTGATGGCACCATGTAAGCGTTCAATTAAATAAGCTAGAAATAATTCGGTAATCATTTTAGCCCAACCCATAGCTCACTTTTAGTGAATTATTAAGATGTGCTAAAACCGAGGAAGGGACAGTTGCTTGAAAATGATTGGCTATAATTATCACATCTGAAGTTCTCAGCCAATCAGAGGGCATCGGAATAGAATGGTGGTGTAAGGGGTTAATATTATAAGGCAGCAGACCTGCTGTACCATTAACCCCCACATTGCTGCCTGTGGTGTGAAGGATTACGATCGTTTGGGTCTCTCCTGGCTGCATTTGCTAATTTCATTGATCTATTCCTTTTTTATTTGATGCCTAGTTGCTGTAGCATGTAAAAATCAGGTTAATGTATTTTGCGAGGATGCCTTCTGGAACGGATCAGAGTGACTCCAATCATTTTATGGAGATAAATTAGTCAATTCTGTACTTTATGTGCGACCCTGCCGGATCGCACGTGGGCCACTGCGTATGTTCTCCTGCCAGATCGCACGTGGGCCACTGCGTATGTTCCCCCTACCGGATGGCGCGTGGGCCACTGCGTATGTTCCCCCTACCGGATGGCGCGTGGGCCACTGCGTATGTTCCCCCTGCCGGATGGCACGTGGGCCACTGCGTATGTTCCCCCTGCCGGATGGCGCGTGGGCCACTGCGTATGTTCCCCCTACCGGATGGCACGTGGGCCACTGCGTATGTTCCCCCTACCGGATGGCACGTGGGCCACTGCGTATGTTCCCCCTACCGGATGGCGCGTGGGCCACTGCGTATGTTCCCCCTACCGGATGGCGCGTGGGCCACTGCGTATGTTCCCCCTGCCGGATGGCACGTGGGCCACTGCGTATGTTCCCCCTGCCGGATGGCGCGTGGGCCACTGCGTATGTTCCCCCTACCGGATGGCACGTGGGCCACTGCGTATGTTCCCCCTGCCGGATGGCGCGTGGCCACTGCATATGTTCTCCCTGCCGGATGGCGCGTGGGCCACTGCGTATGTTCCCCCTACCGGATGGCATGTGGGCCACTGCGTATGTTCCCCCTACCGGATGGCACGTGGGCCACTGCGTATGTTCCCCCTACCGGATGGCACGTGGGCCACTGCGTATGTTCCCCCTGCCGGATGGCGCGTGGGCCACTGCGTATGTTCCCCCTACCGGATGGCACGTGGGCCACTGCGTATGTTTCCCCTGCCGGATGGCGTGTGGGCCACTGCGTATGTTCCCCCTACCGGATGGCACGTGGGCCACTGCGTATGTTCCCCCTACCGGATGGCACGTGGGCCACTGCGTATGTTCCCCCTACCGGATGGCACGTGGGCCACTGCGTATGTTCCCCCTACCAGATGGCACGTGGGCCACTGCGTATGTTCCCCCTGCCGGATGGCGCGTTGGGAATGGCGTATGTTCCCCTACTGGATCAGAGTCCGCCAGACGTCAGCTTATTATTAACACCTCGCCCAACACACATGGATGGGGAGTAGTGGGATTCTTAATATGCCCCGTGCTAGATAGCAAATCCACTCAATATCTGCTAATTATTAACCCCACAACACATTTTACATAGATTTGGTTAAGCTCCAGTTTGGAGCTTTTTCAGATCAATTTAAGGTGACCTAACGTGTTGTTATTTGATTATTAATGTGAAATGTCTAATGAGAAATAATAAACAAAAATGTATTTACCAGACGTTTAATGTGTGGGGCAATAGAAACAAACAGAAACCGTGAGAAATAGAAACAGCAAAATGGTGAGAAAGGAAAAGGCTTGTCAATGCTCCGCAATACCCAGTTAGCTGGTTAGTGAACATTCTATTAATACATTGCTGAAAGCGACCGGTCACATACAGACCGGAATGGCGCTGGATTTGGGGAATTTCCAGAGATTGTATCATTTGGGCCCCACATGTCGGCTGCTGTCTCATCGTTTAGTTAATAAACTGTTTCCAAATTGTGGTTTTTAAGATAATTTTCAGATTTTTTGGGACAATAACTTGGTCAGAGGAGAAAGTGTAAACCTGTCTGTTTGTCTCCCAGCAGTGTCCGGATTGTTCTGTTCCTGCCGTCTGCGGATTGAAGAGTCTCAGGAGCACCGTCTGTCTGCGCGCTTTGTGCGGGATGTTATAGAAAACATCACCAATGATACCTCATCTAATCTCAGTAAGCAATGTTATGGGGAATGTAAGACGTTACATGGTATGGGCTGTGCAGAGCGAGGCTGAGCATGTTGTATGGGCTGTGCAGAGCATGTTGTATGGGCGCTGCAGTGCGTGACAGAGAATGTTGTATGGGCTGTGCAGAGCGAGGCTGAGCATGTTGTATGGGTCATGCAAAGCATGTTGTATGGGCTCTGCAATGCGTGACAGAGAATGTTGTATGGGCTGTGCAGTGCGAGGCTGAGCATGTTGTGTGGGCTGTGCAGAGCATGTTGTATGGGCTGTGCAGAGCATGTTGTATGGGCTCTGCAGTGTGTGACAGAGAATATTGTATGGGCTTAGCATGTTGTATGGGCTGTGCAATGTGTGGCAGAGCATGTTGTATGGGCTGTGCAGAGTGAGGCAGAGCATGTTGTATGGGTCATGCAGAGCATGTTGTATGGGCTGTGCAGTGTGTGACAGAGCATGTTGTATGGGCCGTGCAGAGTGAGGCAGAGCATGTTGTATGGGTCATGCAGAGCATGTTGTATGGGCTGTGCAGTGCGTGACAGAGCATGTTGTATGGGCCGTGCAGAGTGAGGCAGAGCATGTTGTATGGGCTGTGCAGAGCATGTTGTATGGGCTCTGCAGTGTGTGACAGAGAATATTGTATGGGCTTGGCAGAGCATGTTGTATGGGCTGTGCAATGTGTGGCAGAGCATGTTGTATGGGCTGTGCAGAGTGAGGCAGAGCATGTTGTATGGGTCATGCAGAGCATGTTGTATGGGCTGTGCAGTGTGTGACAGAGCATGTTGTATGGGCCGTGCAGAGTGAGGCAGAGCATGTTGTATGGGTCATGCAGAGCATGTTGTATGGGCTCTGCAATGCGTGACAGAGAATGTTGTATGGGCTGTGCAGTGCGAGGCTGAGCATGTTGTATGGGCTGTGCAGAGCATGTTGTATGGGCTGTGCAGAGCATGTTGTATGGGCTCTGCAGTGTGTGACAGAGAATATTGTATGGGCTTAGCATGTTGTATGGGCTGTGCAATGTGTGGCAGAGCATGTTGTATGGGTCATGCAGAGCATGTTGTATGGGCTGTGCAGTGTGTGACAGAGCATGTTGTATGGGCCGTGCAGAGTGAGGCAGAGCATGTTGTATGGGTCATGCAGAGCATGTTGTATGGGCTGTGCAGTGTGTGACAGAGCATGTTGTATGGGCCATGCAGAGCATGTTGTGTGTGACAGAGCATGTTGTATGTGCTGTGCAGAGCAAGGCTGAGCATGTTGTATGGGCTGTGCAATGTGTGGCAGAGCATGTTGTATGGGCTGTGCAGAGTGAGGCAGAGCATGTTGTATGGGTCATGTAGAGCATGTTGTATGGGCTGTGCAGTGTGTGACAGAGCATGTTGTATGGGCCGTGCAGAGTGAGGCAGAGCATGTTGTATGGGTCATGCAGAGCATGTTGTATGGGCTGTGCAGTGTGTGACAGAGAATGTTGTATGGGCTGTGCAGAGCGAGGCTGAGCATGTTGTATGGGCTGTGCAGAGCATGTTCTATGGGCGCTGCAGTGTGTGACAGAGAATGTTGTATGGGCTGTGCAGAGCGAGGCTGAGCATGTTGTATGGGCTGTGCAGAGCATGTTGTATGGGCGCTGCAGTGTGTGACAGAGAATGTTGTATGGGCTGTGCAGAGCGAGGCTGAGCATGTTGTATGGGCTGTGCAGAGCGAGGCTGAGCATGTTGTATGGGTCGTGCAGAGCATGTTGTATGGGCTGTGCAGTGTGTGACAGAGCATGTTGTATGGGCTGTGCAGTGTGTGGCAGAGCATGTTGTATGGGCTGTGCAGAGCATGTTGTATGGGCTGTGCAGTGTGTGGCAGAGCATGTTGTATGGGCTCTGCAGAGCATGTTGTCTGGGCTCGGCAGAGCATGTTGCTTATATAGTAAGCTTACCTGGAGAAGTGATAAGAATTAGAAACCAAGAAGAAAGGTACAGGGTGAGTGTGGCTGTAGTGTTCTCCATTTTAGTTAGTTTAACGTATCACCATATCATGTTGCAGGACAAACTAAACGAGTGCTGAGTATGGGGTGCAGGTGTAGATACTACGTCCCCATAGTCAGTGGCTGGAATGAGCCGCTATTTCACTAGCCATTTCTTGACACGGGATTTGCCAGGTTACAGTTTATCAATTTGAGTGAGATGTCCTGGTCTCTCTGCATTCCACACGTTTATAGGAATTTACCGAATTATAGTTTGACGATGTTTGAGATATTATTTATAATTTATGCTTTATTGCAAACACTTGTGTGACAGTAAATAGAACCGTTTGTTTTACCCAGAGCAATCCTGCTCACAGACCCACGCCGTGGTATGTCACGTTTTTCAGTGTAAACAATGGTGCCGTCTACAAACAGTCTTTCAGGCCAAAGGAAGATCATTTATAAATCTGCAAAAACAGAACACGCCCAAGACTGGAACTTGCGGAACGCCACGTGTCACACTGAGTGGGCTCCAAACATTGTCTTCAATACATACATACACACACACACACACACACACATACATACATACATACATACATATACATACATACATACATACATACCGACTTGTGATAAATAGCAACAGAGCCAGTTTAGGTCTGAGGCTTTCCGTTTATTTAATCAGATGTTATGGTCAGCAGTACAAAGTTTAGAAAAATATCTCCTGTAAATTCACCGTATTCCATGCCACCCAGCCTATCACTGCAACCGATGGGCGGATATGATGGTTTGGGAAGAAGCCAGATTGAAGTGGGGTCAGAAAGTTTGGCACATGGTAAAACCTGCATAGCGGCATAGACAATCTTTGCTTTATTTCATGCATTATGTAACACAACCCAAGACACTCTGAATGTAAAGGTGGTTGTGTAGGGTTTCTGCTCTCGCCTCACTGCTCCTTCAAACCTCTACCCACCCCCCTCCCTCTCTTTCTCATCATTTGAAATCCATTAGATTTGCCTTTTCAAACCCTTCCCTGCTAAAATTGCCATCACCCCCCCCGGTTCCCCACTCCTACTCCTCGACCACTTTGCTGCCTGGCTACCCTACTACTCTACCTCCTCTCCTCTAACATACCATCCTTCATTCTCGGAAACTTCAATATTCCCATTAACCCACCCCTCTAAACTACTTTCAATTACTTCCTCCCTTGGGCTATTGCAGTGGGCTAATTCTCCCACCCGTGTAGCTGGCAATACCTCATTTTCTCTTATGCATGTACAGAGTCTAATATCTCCAACACTCCATTTCCTCTCTCTGATCAACACCTCTTATCATTTGCTCTCGAGTACCCCCTCAGCCAACAACCTCAGCCTAACCCCCCTGAACTCGGGAGGAACCTTAATTCTATTGACCGCCAGCAGTTGTCAGCTGATATTGATTCACAACTCCTATCCATCTCCTCCCTCTCCTGTCCCTCACTGGCCATTGCAACATATAACACTACCCTCACCTCTGCCTTGAACGCTGCAGCCCCGCTCCAAACATGCACTTTAAGGAGGACACGTCCCCAACCGTGGCATACTAAATCAACAAGCTAACTGCAAAGATGCTCCCGTTGTGCTGAACGCTCCTGGAGGAAGTCTCGCACCCAGCCAGACTTTCTCCATTATAGATTTATATTGTGTTCATACAGTGCAGCCCTTGCCCTCGCCAAACAGTCCTACTTTTCCTCTCTCATTAGTTCATGCTCCCACAATCCCAGGTGTCTCTTTGACACCTTTAACTCTCTTCTTTTCCCTGCTGTGGCCACCCCTCAAACTAACCTTACTGCCGATAGCTTTGCATGTTACTTTACCAACAAGATTGAACAGCTAAGGAAAGAATTCTCCCCACCCTGCCGTTCTCTTTCTCAACCACACGTAGATCATGCTTTTCCTACCCTTCAGACTTTCTCCCCGGCTGCTAAACAAGACGTGGCTGTGCTTCTCCTTTCTTCTCGTCTCACCACTTGCCCACTCGATCCTGTCCCATCTCACCTTATCAGAGCTCTCTACCCTTGTCTTGTGCATTGTTTAACACACATCTTCAACTGCTCTCTCTCTTCTGGCATTGTCCCTTCTGACCTTAAACATGCCACTGTAGTACCTGTCCTGAAAAAAAACATCTCTTGACCCTTCCCTCCCCCCAACTATCGTCCCATATCAATTCACCCTTTTTCCTCAAAGCTTCTGGAAAGACTCGTCTTTACCCGTATGTCTCACTTCCTCAGTTCAAACTCTCTCCTTGACCCTCCACTCTACTGAGACTGCTCCTATCAAAGTTACTGATGACCTAATCACAGCTAAATCCAAAGGCCACTACTCAATACTAATTCTTCTTGACCTCTCTGCTGCCTTTGACACCATTGATCATGATCTCCTTCTTCAAACTCTTCAATCACTCGGTTTCTGTGACTCTGTCCTCTCGTGGTTTTCCTCTTATCTCTCCCAACACTCATTCAGTGTCTCATTTTCTAATGATACATCCTCCCCTTGTCCTTACTTGTTTGGAGTACCCCAAGGAGCTGTTCTTGGTTCCCTTCTGTTCTCTCTTTATACTGCCTCTCTTGGTAAACTTATTACCACTTTTGGATTCCATTACCACCTGTACGCTGATGACACCCAGATATATTTCTCCTCCCCGGACCTCTCCCCTGCAGTGACTTGATGTCCTCCTGCTTTCTGAAACTCAGTCTCTCTAAAAATGAGCTCCTTGTCTTTCCTCCTCCTAACACTGATCCTCCTCTTGCACTCTCCCTTCAAGTTATTCGTAGCCACATCAGGCCATACTTGCAAGCAATCTGTCTTGGTGTCATACTTGATTCTGGCTTCACCTTTGAGCCTCACATCCAGCATGTTACCAAATCCTGTAGATTCCATCTTAAAAACATAGACCACATCTGCCCCTTTCTTACACAAGATGCTACTAAGGAGCTTGTCCAAGCTCTAGTAATTTCCCACATGGATTATTGTAACCCTCTCCTAATTGGTCTTCCCAAAACCGTATTGCCCCTCTACAGTCTGTAATGAATGCTGCCGCCAGACTGATTTTCCTCTCTAGTCGGTCCTCTCACACCTCAACCCCTCTGTCAGTCTTTACATTGGCTTCCTGTATCCTATAGGAGTCAATTCAAAGTGCTAATCCATACCTATAAAGCACTGAACAATTCAAGCCCCTCTTATATCTCTTCACAGATCCATAGGTATGCCCCTACTCAGTCTCTCCGTTCTGCCTGTGACCTTCTCCTGACCGCTGCTTGCACCCGTACAGCCAACTCACGCTTGCAGGACTTCTCGCGGGCGGCCCCCTTCCTATTGAGTAGCCTGCCTACCGCCATCAGACTCTCCCCTAGTCTTCAATTGTTTAAGATGTGCTTTCAAACCCATTAATACATTGACTGACCCATCAGATGTCTTACAACTGCAATGATATTTTAAAGGAATGATTTAATTAAGATGTTATGTGATTTAACACATGTACTTTGAGTATTCATTTTGTCATCTCTCATTTCAAAACAGCCTCGCCTTCACCTGTAACCCCTGTGTCCAATGGCCGGAGCTGGCCTTACTTTGTTGGATTTGTGCTCGTCGCAATATTCCTGTCCTGCATCATTGCTTTGGCTGCAAAATTCAGTATTCTCCGTAAATACCTTCGCAGCTACCGTCACCGTCCACTGCCCGAGAACGAATGGGTGAGTGAAACCCAGAGTGAAGTACCTGGCCTGCCACTTCCATCCCATGAAGATGAAGACGGGTTTATAGAGGATAATTATATTCAGCCAAGGGACCATCCGGAGGAGGAAGAGGAGGATGAAGGCATGTATAGACTCTGATGGCCACAAAAGATCATTATGGAGCTCAATCTATCAAGGCTTCCAGCTGGTTGCTTATAGTGATGCTATAACAGCTTAAAATCCGTGGACTCTTACTCTCCACGACAACTGGAATCATGTTTCTACAACTCAAGATGTTAAGGATCCAGGATCGAATATATGTGAACCTATTGGAGAAGAAATAGCACCTTCTTCTGTGTCCAGTCTTCAAGCTCCATGACCTCCTTAAACTAATGAAGGATATTCCACCAGACTGACTAATACTTACCCCCTCTTTACCAGTGCTGTCCAGAATTTTCTTTATCAGCAAGATTGTTTGCTGGAGCACCAGTGATGTCTTATTTATAAATCGATAGGTTCAGGAAGTCAGAGGATTGTAAATTGGATCTGTGAAGGGCCCGTTCCCAAATTCATCCTGCATTGGACAGAATGGTCTTGGGCTCCTCAGTTACAGACATGGATAGAGATAAACAGTGCTACCACAGGTTGTGATAACCAGTGAATGAGTTCTGCTGGGTAAAGGATCAAACTAGTGAATTAAATACACTCCATGGCACAGAACAGGCAGTTGGTGAAACCAAATTTCCTCATTACGTCAGATATAATCACACTCCGATGGTTTGGTAGGGGGCACAGTCCAAGTAAGCAAGGTCACATCGCCATGACTGACCTCTTCCCTTACACAACCCCCACAATAAACCATGTTCCAACAGTACCATGCTGTCCACTAAACCCAACATCCCCTCCCCCTCCATTACACTGGTCCTTGTTACATAGGGAAGGACTAAGATGGTACAGGGCCCTGGGCAGTTTACCTGTTTGAACCCCCCTTTATTCAGCACATATGCATGGTGGGCCAAACAAATTCATGGTTCCGGACCCCTCTCTAACCTCCATGCCCTAGAAGATCACCTAAGGTCGTCATATGGTTAATCTTATATTCCCTTTTTGTTGTCCTCTCACTTCGAATGAGAAGAGCTCGGATCCAGAGCAGCCCATACTGATTCATAATGGGGGCAAGTATCAAGACAAATCACTGCTGGCCTGTAAAGAGTTAATGATATATAAAGGTAAACAAAGTAGCTAAACATAAATGTTTAAACACATGCTTAATCTGTGCTGTTAATGTTTTAATAAAATTACGAAAGGGTTTGACCTGTGTCTCGGGTTTGCAGTTATTACGTTCAAAACCTCTTCAATAAATCTGTTCTAAGTGTCATTATATCAGGTGGGTTTATATTATTAAAGGGACACTCCAGGCTCCCACACACGTTAGATGCACTGTGTAGATTAGGTTACAGTTAGTTATACTGGGTGGGTTTATATTATTAAAGGGACACTCCCAGGCTCCCACACACGTTAGATGCACTGTGTAGGTTAGGTTACAGTTAGTTATACTGGGTGGGTTTATATTATTAAAGAGACACTCCAGGCTCCCACACACGTTAGTGCACTGTGTAGGTTAGGTTACAGTTAGTTATACTGGGTGGGTTTATATTATTAAAGGGACACTCCAGGCTCCCACACACGTTAGATGCACTGTGTAGGTTAGGTTACAGTTAGTTATACTGGGTGGGTTTATATTATTAAAGGGACACTCCAGGCTCCCACACATGTTAGATGCACTGTGTAGGTTAGGTTACAGTTAGTTATACTGGGTGGGTTTATATTATTAAAGGACACTCCAGGCTCCACACACATTAGATGCACTGTGTAGGTTAGGTTACAGTTAGTTATACTGGGTGGGTTTATATTATTAAAGGGACACTCCAGGCTCCCACACACGTTAGTGCACTGTGTAGGTTAGGTTACAGTTGGTTATACTGGGTGGGTTTATATTATTAAAGGGACACTCCAGGCTCCCACACACGTTAGATGCACTGTGTAGGTTAGGTTACAGTTAGTTATACTGGGTGGGTTTATATTATTAAAGGGACACTCCAGGCTCCCACACACGTTAGATGCACTGTGTAGGTTAGGTTACAGTTAGTTATACTGGGTGGGTTTATATTATTAAAGGGACACTCCAGGCTCCCACACACACGTTAGGTGCACTGTGTAGGTTGGGTTACAGTTATACTGGGTGGGTTTATATTAATACAGGCTCCCACACGATAGGTGCACTGTGTAGGTTAGGTTATAGTTATACTGGGTGGTTTTATATTATTAATGGGACACTCCAGGCTCTCACACACGTTAGATGCACTGTGCAGGATAGGTTACAGTTATACCGGCTGGGTTTATATTAATACAGGGACACTCCAGGCTCCCACACGTTAGATGCACTGTGTAGGTTAAGTTACAGTTAGTTATACTGGGTGGGTTTATATTGTTAAAGGGACACTCCAGGCTCCCACACACGTTAGATGCACTGTGTAGGTTAAGTTACAGTTAGTTATACTGGGTGGGTTTATATTATTAAAGGGACACTCCAGGCTCCCACACACGTTACGTGCACTGTGTAGGTTAGGTTACAGTTAGTTATACTGGGTGGGTTTATATTATTAAATGGACACACCAGGCTCCCACACACGTTAGATGCACTGTGTAGGTTAGGTTACAGTTAGTTATACTGGGTGGGTTTATATTATTAAATGGACACACCAGGCTCCCACACATGTTAGGTGCACTGTATAGGTTAGGTTAGTTATACTGGATGAGTTTATATTATTAAAAGGACACTCCGGGCTCCCACACACATTAGATGCACTGTGTAGGTTAGGTTACAGTTAGTTATACTGGGTGGGTTTATATTGTTAAAGGGACACTCCAGGCTCCCACACACGTTAGGTGCACTGTGTAGGTAAGGTTACAGTTAGTCATACTGGGTGGGTTTATATTATTAAAGGGACACTCCAGGCTCTCACACACGTTGGGTGCACTGTGTAGGTTGGGTTACAGTTATACTGGGTGGGTTTATATTATTAAAGGGACACTCCAGGCTCCCACAAACGTTAGGTGCACTGTGTAGGTTAGGTTACAGTTAGTTATACTGGGTGGGTTTATATTATTAAAGGGACACTCCAGGCTCCCACACACGTTAGATGCACTGTGTAGGTTAGGTTACAGTTAGTTATACTGGGTGGGTTTATATTATTAAAGGGACACTCCAGGCTCCCACACACGTTAGATGCACTGTGTAGGTTAGGTTACAGTTAGTTATACTGGGTGGGTTTATATTATTAAAGGAACACTCCAGGCTCCCCACACACGTTAGATGCACTGTGTAGGTTAGGTTACAGTTAGTTATACTGGGTGGGTTTATATTATTAAAGGGACACTCCAGGCTCCCACACACGTTAGATGCACTGTGTAGGTTAGGTTACAGTTAGTTATACTGGGTGGGTTTATATTATTAAAGGGACACTCCAGGCTCCCACACACGTTAGTGCACTGTGTAGGTTAGGTTACAGTTAGTTATACTGGGTGGGTTTATATTGTTAAAGGGACACTCCAGGCTCCCACACACGTTAGATGCACTGTGTAGGTTAGGTTACAGTTAGTTATACTGGGTGGGTTTATATTATTAAAGGGACACTCCAGGCTCCCACACACGTTAGATGCACTGTGTAGGTTAGGTTACAGTTAGTTATACTGGGTGGGTTTATATTATTAAATGGACACACCAGGCTCCCACACACGTTAGATGCACTGTGTAGGTTAGGTTACAGTTAGTTATACTGGGTGGGTTTATATTATTAAATGGACACTCCAGGCTCCCACACACGTTAGATGCACTGTGTAGGTTAGGTTACAGTTAGTTATACTGGGTGGGTTTATATTATTAAAAGGACACTCCAGGCTCCCACACACGTTAGATGCACTGTGTAGGTTAGGTTACAGTTAGTTATACTGGGTGGGTTTATATTATTAAAGGGACACTCCAGGCTCCCACACACGTTAGATGCACTGTGTAGGTTAGGTTACAGTTAGTTATACTGGGTGGGTTTATATTATTAAAGGGACACTCCAGGCTCCCACACACGTTAGATGCACTGTGTAGGTTAGGTTACAGTTAGTTATACTGGGTGGGTTTATATTATTAAAGGGACACTCCAGGCTCCCACACACGTTAGATGCACTGTGTAGGTTAGGTTACAGTTAGTTATAATGGGTGGGTTTATATTATTAAAGGGACACTCCAGGCTCCCACACACGTTAGATGCACTGTGTAGGTTAGGTTACAGTTAGTTATACTGGGTGGGTTTATATTATTAAAGGGACACTCCAGGCTCCCACACACGTTAGATGCACTGTGTAGGTTAGGTTACAGTTAGTTATACTGGGTGGGTTTATATTATTACAGGGACACTCCAGGCTCCCACACACGTTAGGTGCACTGTGTAGGTTAGGTTACAGTTAGTTATACTGGGTGGGTTTATATTATTAAAGGGACACTCCAGGCTCCCACACACGTTAGGTGCACTGTGTAGGTTAGGTTACAGTTAGTTATACTGGGTGGGTTTATATTATTAAAGGGACACTCCAGGCTCCCACACACGTTAGATGCACTGTGTAGGTTAGGTTACAGTTAGTTATACTGGGTGGGTTTATATTATTAAAGGGACACTCCAGGCTCCACACACGTTAGATGCACTGTGTAGGTTAGGTTACAGTTAGTTATACTGGGTGGGTTTATATTATTAAAGGGACACTCCAGGCTCCCACACACGTTAGGTGCACTGTGTAGGTTAGGTTACAGTTAGTTATACTGGGTGGGTTTATATTATTAAAGGGACACTCCAGGCTCCCACACACGTTAGGTGCACTGTGTAGGTTAGGTTACAGTTAGTTATACTGGGTGGGTTTATATTATTAAAGGGACACTCCAGGCTCCCACACACGTTAGATGCACTGTGTAGGTTAGGGTTACAGTTAGTTATACTGGGTGGGTTTATATTATTAAAGGGACACTCCAGGCTCCCACACACGTTAGATGCACTGTGTAGGTTAGGTTACAGTTAGTTATACTGGGTGGGTTTATATTATTAAAGGGACACTCCAGGCTCCCACACACGTTAGGTGCACTGTGTAGGTTAGGTTACAGTTAGTTATACTGGGTGGGTTTATATTATTAAAGGGACACTCCAGGCTCCCACACACGTTAGATGCACTGTGTAGGTTAGGTTACAGTTAGTTATACTGGGTGGGTTTATATTATTAAAGGGACACTCCAGGCTCCCACACACGTTAGATGCACTGTGTAGGTTAGGTTACAGTTAGTTATACTGCGTGGGTTTATATTATTAAAGGGACACTCCAGGCTCCCACACACCTTAGGTGCACTGTGCAGGTAGGGCTACAGTTACACGTTGATGTGACAAAATTATAAGTACCAGAAACTCCTGCTGTGTCCATAACAAAAATGCTTCATATGGATTTATGGGAAAAGTTCAAAATTGAAGTAAAAAAATTAAAAAGTATTATGATTGGTTAAGTCATTTCATGATATCGGCACAGCTTTCCTTTTGAAGTAGCAAAGTGTGGTGTCTTCATGATATATTTGGGATAAGAGTTTGCATTGCATATTTAGATTCACATTATGTATGGGATGCAGAGCGCCAGAGACTCACACTGATAAAAACATTTTGACAGGAGGGGAGAATTTTAAATGTGACCAAAGCGGGCCTTAGTGCTAAAAGCAATTAGTGTTTTGTGGGACTATAATAGGATTTGGACAACCATTGCTTAGCTCTTTAGCTCAGATTACTATAAAGATATTGTGTAACTTTCTCCACCCGCCATTCCTGCCTCCAGACATGTATCCTTCCCCAACGCTCTGTATAAGGACGCCATCATGGGACGATATGGAGGAGAAGACACAATCTCCAGTCCACTGGTATCAAGGAAAAACAAAACAACACACGCAATGAAGGAAAGTTAAAAAAACGAGAAAATGATCACAAATTCTGTTTTATTGGAGTGTCATTCAGAGATATCTCTAATATATATTAGTTTTTTATTAAAAATCATCCTTCACAATATTAAATATATTTTGAACCAAGTCTTCACGTATTTAAATGTCAGCATCGCAGCTGCTTGGAGATAATTGTGCACAATATTCATTAAACACGGAAATAAAGGCTCCACGACCAGGAAATCTCTATTCTATGCCAAATTTCACCATTTCTACCCTTCATCATGTCCGATCCTTT